CTGGCTGGTATATCCATATACGAAAGCAGCGCTGGCTGGTATATCCGTATACCAGCAGCCTTTGCAGCAAAGGGTGCGAACCGTAGCTGTGTTAGGGGAGAGGCTTCCATCAGGCCCTGCCTGAGGCACCTTTCCCCTTCCTGTGTCCTAATTATTTTCCTGCCTTTCTGACCCAGCCACTCAGGTCAGCCTCCCGACCTCACATCTTCCGGCTCTTCAGCCATCTCCACCTTCTCCATCTTGGCTTGAGGCAACATTTTCTGGTCTTTCTTCCTCCACGGGACTCCCTGAGCCTTACCTTCCCCATCTTGAACACAGCGGCCTGGGCTCAGCCCTTGAACCTTCTTTTTAATCTTTTCATCCTCCTAAAATGCAGCTATGGAGGCCAAGGATCTAAACTCTATATGTGCAGCTGCTCTAACCCTTGGCCTCCAGCCCGTTATTGTGAACACGGGGCTGGAGGAGCTAACTGTCTCTTGTGCACCTGACTTGGTGGCTTGCGGCCGTCTGAAACTGAACATGCTCAGATGCATGAAGACCACACAAGGACAGTGCTGCATGGCCAGCACCCCCATTTCAGACTTTCCTGAAAGCCCAGTCTAGACCACTGTTTTCCCCTTCAATCTAGTACACACACACACACACACACACACACACACACACACACACACACCACCTCCCCTGTTCCACCTCTGTTCTTAGGGTCTCACTTGAACTACTGCAAGATCCCGAGAAGGATCCTCCTGTGACTTTATGGTTCTCAATGGACTCTGCACATTTTTTTTTTTTTTTTTTTTTGAGACAGGGTTTCTCTGTCATTTTGGTGCCTGTCCTGGAACTTGCTCTCTAGACCAGGATGGCCTCTGCCTCCTGAGTGCTGGAATTAAAGAAGTGCGCCACCACTGCCTGGCCAACTCTGCACATTTTAAAGCAACCCGAGGACATGACTGTGACCTAGGTCCCTGTCTTTACACAGTCTCCTTCCACCCCTCACCCCACCACATTTTACCTCCTTCCCTGCTCAGGCTGCAGTGGTCCTTATTCTAATGTGACAAGCTCATTCTTGCCTCCGAACTTTTTCCCTCTCTGGCTGTCCCCTACACGGCCACTTCACAGGAAGAGATCCTGACCAGTGCTGTGCAAATGATGCAGATTCAGCTTGTGGCGATGGTGGAATGCCCGCTGCAAACGTTTCACTCTAATAGCAGTGGCGGGATCATGGTGAAAAGTGCGTGCTTCCTGCCCTCTTGACTCAGAGCATGGCAGGTAGCTTGCTTGGCCTTCAGGAACATACCGAGTCAATTTCCCTGTCATCAAAGAGTGGCCCTTGATGAAGTCATTATCATTACCTCAGTTGACCGCCAGGAACTGCCTGAGATGGACAATGGTCACCAGAGTTCCAAAGGACAGTCCTCTTCAAAGTCACCAATAGTAAGTGCAAACGAGGGGCCCTGCCAGGGGTTCAGCCACAGTGTTGTGCATGTCTTGAGCTTTTTGTTCATTGGACATTTACAGCAAGATGGACATGATGACACATAATCTCAGGATGCAGAAGGTTGAGGCAGGAGGATTTCTGTGAAATTGAGGCCAGTCTAAGCTACATAACGAGGGCAGATCATTCAGGGTTACACAACAAGGCTCTGTGTCACTCATCTCCCCCAAATAAAAAATATAAAAGTAAAAATTCGCAAGCCAGAGGGAAGTTCTCTAGCCTTTGTTCTGGAGATAGGCAAAATGGGAGGGCATAGAAATCAGTTGGTTTGTGGCTAAGGTAGGCTCCATACATTATATTTGTGGCCTGGATCCATATGGCTTTAAGAGCCATCTCACTGATTTTTAGCCTAGATTTCAAATTTCTCCTGTCTCCTTCCTTGCTTTGGGCAAAGGAGCAGGAGCTATTTTTACAAATCAGTTTTATTTTTAATTATTTGCATGTTTGTGTTTGTATATGGGTATGTGCACCTGAGTGCAGGTGCCCACAAAGGCCAGAAGAGGGCATCAGATCCTCTGGAACTGGAGTTACAGGTCATTGTGAAGCCACCTGATGTTGGTGCTGGAACCACACTTGGGTATTCAGGAAGCAGAAAAGACTCTTAAGTGTCCAGCCATCCCTTCAACAAGGGCTGTATGAAAACGTGCATTTTTTTTTAACTTGATGGATGAGGAAGATCAGACCTGAGGAAGAGAGGTCCCTGAGGATCTGATCTGCTGTCCATCTCCCCAGACTTAGCATCTGTAGGGGAAGGGACTCAGGCAGCAGGCACACATGCTTAGCTGTAACCAGTCTCCACCAGAGCCACATTGCTGTTTGTGGAGTTTACACATTGGTGTGAGGGCACGCTGCCTGAAGCCCTGTGACTGTTCACTGTGACTGTTCTTCAGCTGCACTGAGAGCAATATGCTACTAATGCACAGTGTAACCACATGCTCACCTCCATGGATTCCAGGCCTTGGGGCCCATGCCACTGCTGTGGTCTTATGGAATTTTCCTGGCTTCTGTTCTGTATTCACTGTCCTAGGAGCCCTACTCATCTCTCTGGTTCAGTCTTGAAGGTCATGTTATCTGGTATGGAGAAGCCTGTGCTAGGGGCTAGACAGATGTCTCAGTGGTTAAGAGTACTTGTTCTTGCATAGGACTTGAGTTCAGTTCCCAGTACCACCATGGTGGCTCACAACTATCCACAATTCTAGTTCCAGGGGGTCTAATGTCTTTTTCTGATCTCCACAGGTACCAGGTACACATGTGGTAGACGTATATACATGCAGGTAACACCCACCCACACACACCACACATGTGCACACACATACCTATTCCACACATGTGCACACACATACCTATTCCACACATGTGCACACACATACCTATTCCACACATGTGCAC